GTAGAAGTAACTTACTGTGTTAAACTGGGAATCAAAGGAGAAGCAGCTGAGGGGGAGTCTGGAAGACTCAGGGGTCAGAGAGCTTGAATTAAGGCAAACCCAGATAGCGTGTGTGAGGCCGGGTGTGCCGGGTCATGGGAGAACTGTGTGAAAACAATGAAAAAAAATTGGCATGGAGTTCGGAGTCCTTTTTCTGCTTAATTGCCCGGGCCAATATCACATACCAGATACTGCTGGGATGGCTGTAAAACATACAGGTCCCTCCTACCACAGAATTCCGTGAAAGAAGTGTTTCTATAGAAAATAAATCAGAGGTGATGCTTGCACCAAGTGCTAGTCTAGTAGTGCAGGCACCATTTAGGCTTGCAGAACCTTCTTGGGATGTTGTACCTGTAGCTGCTTGATTTGTAGACACAAGTAAGGGGGTTTAGCAGGGGAGTTCTTGTGTGGCTTTCATTTCCCTTCACGCAGGGGGAGCACATCTGAAGGTTTGGCTTTTAAAGCAAATCCTCTGGGTCACGTTCGGCCTTTTTTGGGGCGTATCTTGGTATTGGAACCGTTCTTACCTTGATACATCCGCTCTCTTGTTTTGATAACCGCGCCTCTTCCCTCACGATAGACCAGCATTAATTGCCTGCTTTTCTTTAATTGCCTCTCTGTACCCCTGGTCTAAAAAGAGAGCTGCTCTGAGGCAGAGGGCCCGCCGTGGACTGGAACGGTGCGACCGAAACAGCTGCTGCCTGTAACGGGGGGGAAGGAAGGGGGAGGTACGGTGACAGTGACGTGCGATTGTCTGGAGACTGACACCGATACCGCTTTTGTTCCCAGACTCTTGAAATGCCTGAAGACTTTTGGTGAAGTGCACTGAGCCGAAGTGACAGACTTGATATTTAAAAGAATCAAACCTTATCTTAAAAATGGAATTGGAGAATTAGCAACGCACAACTGCCCTCTTTCTTCTCTCTGCCTGCCTCTGCCCATCAACCTACTTCTTGGGCAGCGATTAGGACAGGAAATCAAACTGCCCATCTTCCTCCTTCCCTCTTGACACCGCTAGTGTGCGACAGTCTCGTTGCTCCTGGGATCCCACAACCCCGAGAACAGACACGTAGAGTTGTGACATAACACTAACTGCAGAAGCCGTGGAGCTGAAGGAGACCCTTCACGACTGCGCCAGTCACTGCTGACAGAGAGAGAAATTGGACAATTTGGTGACAAAAGAAAACTTTAAAAAAGAAAGAAAATATAATCTATTTAGAATTAATTTATAGCTGTATATATGTTGTACTTTTAAACTATGCAGGGGTTGGATGATTAAATTATTTTGTTTTCTGCCCGGTTTGTTAAACGGGGAAGTGGGAAGTCTCTTCCCAGGGTGTCTCGCTCTGCAGCGCTGTCCTGCCCAACCCACTAGAACCAGAGTCACTTTTGCAGTTACGTATTTTGCTTTCTGGAGGACAGCGGCGTCCTGCGGCTTGGGATGTCCGTACCTGCCTTTCAGGTTTTAATGAAAGAAATTCCAAATCTGTAGGGGGTAACAAAGGAAATCGGGGAAACTGCCCAGATTTGTGGTGTGGTTTTTGCAGTGTTGGCAGAAGCTGTGGCGGGTCAGCTGAGCCCCGACGTTGCACTCGGTGACGGGAAGGATTGTCCTGGATGGTTTTTGCTCATCAGTCGTTGGGTTTATTTGTGCACGTAACTTCTTTTTTCGCAGAGTCTGCTTTAATTTTGCCTCGTAATCAGCGTGCGGCGTTCGTTCTGTAAAGAGGGCTTTCCACGAGCCGTCTCCCTTTGTTGAGGGGTTTTTTTGTGTGTCCTACACTTGGGGTTCCTCACCCACCAGCACTCCTGTTTGCAGCGCAGCCATCGACTTGACGCCCTAGCTCTAATGTTTCCTAGAGGAGACCTGTAAAATACTGTTAATTCACAAGAAACGGAGCTTCCTATTGCTTCTGTTGAAAGAAGTTTTGCCAGGGGAGATGGGAGGGTGCACCTCATCTCTCCTCGGAGCCCGCCAAGCTCTGCAGCGCGGCTCTCCCTCGCTCACCGTGGGGCAGGGCCGGCGTTAGGCAGCAGGAGGGTGCCCGAGGTTGGGAGCAAAGCCAGCATGAGCAGAGCTACCTTCTGTGGAATAAACTGGATTTTTTTTTTTTTTCTGGTACTCTGCATTTTGTCTAAAGACATTTCCAGTGAGAACTATCCCCTGACACGCTTGGGGGAATGAATCAAAAGTGTGGTGGCTGCTGGGTGGGGTGGCAGGGGCTGGAGGAGGTGAGAGGTAAGGTGGGTTTCTTTCGTTGTCATTAGGAATCCACGTGCTCTGTCTTCAGCTATTTATTTATTTTGCGAAATATCAGCCCTCCCGTTAACTGCAAGCCTTATCCCACAGCCACCATGACACTTGGACCTCATTTTAAGGGGCTTTTTTTTTTTTTTTTTTTTTTTTTTTTTATTGGGTGGAAATATGGCATTTGGAAATAGCTCTTAATAGAGGCACAGGCACATGAAGAGATCACGGGCAGGGGAGTTAAACCAAAATCCCTGTTGCAGGAGGTGCTGAATGTCTTGCACAATGGCATTCCTTGCCCAGAGCCTGCCCACCAAAACCTTCTGATTATGTTTTTTTCGAGTAGTTACCCATGGATGATAACGAGTGAGAAGGCGTAGATCCTAACGGATGCTCACAGAGGCTGTATCTCTCGATTTAGAATTAATTATACAATTGTACATCTATAAATAAATGTTTATAACGTGAAAGGCTCCGGCTGTGTTGGTGTCCTGCAGCTCCGTGCCCCAGACAGCTCTGGTTTTACCGCTTCTCCTTCACGTCACCTTCGTCGCATCCACGCGGGCGTTCGGTGAATGAAATTCGGTGTCTTTGCAAGAGAGCCCCGGGGCTGCAGGGGGGAAGGAGAGAGATGTGATGGCGAGGCAGTGGTGCTCCCCGAGTTAGCAAGGGGACCAGGGCCGCTCAGCAGGATGCCTTTGCTCCAAACTGGGGCCACTGGAAGCTCCCAGCAGGATGCCTCGTGCCAGCGGGAGGGGGGGCCATGCCCTCCTCCCCTCCCACTGAAGCGCTGCTGTTAGCCACCTCTCTGACCTCCTCTGGCTGAGCTCTTTTGGGGGATGCTTTATTCTCGCCCCAGAACACCCCCGTTTTAATGTCCCCGTGCAGGCAGGCAGCGGGCAGGAAGGCTCAGGCTGCCTTTGTCCCAGGCAGAAATGCCAGCTTGGACACACTTCCCAATGGTGGCAGCTCACAAGCTTCTGGCTCGGCCCAAAATGGGGGGCACCACCTGCCCCCAGGGGTTGGACTTGGGGCCCATGCTCCCGAATGGGTCTCTTTTTCCTAATTCCCCCCTCCCCAGGACAGCTAAAAGGCTTTTCCTCCAGCACCCAGAGCAGGCTTGACCCCACCTTGACCCTGGTGCTCCCCTCTTCATCTTCCCCAGCCCCATGCACCAAAGGCCTGGAGGTTTGGGGAGGATTTTTTCCCCTTTTCCCCTTTCTCAGAGGCCAGGGCTC